GACCAGGCTGGCCTCGAACTCACAGAGATCTGCTTACCTCTGCCCCTTGAGTGCTGGGATTAAAGGTGTATGCCACTACCACCTCACTAAAAGCTACACACACACACACACACACACACACACACACACACACACACACATATTTGGTTTGGTTCTTCGAGACAGGGTTTACTCTGTAGCTTTGGAACCTGTCTTGTAGACAAGGCTGGCCTTGAACTCACAGAGATCTGCCTGCCTCTGCCTCCTGAGTGCTGGGATTAAAGGCATGCACTACCACCACCTGACTAAATTTTAAAACTATTAGTTCTGGGCCTTCAGAGGACAGACTGGTGATACCATACCATTAAAGCCCCTCATTAGAGGCCTGTGGGCAGAGGCTATAATCCCTCCTAATGGGCTCTGCCTTTCATGCACTCATTGTGAACCGTGGATTCTGAAGGAGCAGTCGGGCAAGAAGGAAGCTTCTTCTCTTACTCTCCTTCTTTCCTTCCTCTCTGTCTGTGTTACTTTCCTTCTTCCTTTGGTGAGTGCTTGTTTTTATATCATTCCTCTCACATCTATATATTTTTTGGAACAAATCTACCTACCTATCTATCTCTCCCTCTTCTATCCTCTATTGTATGGTTCTGTGGATTAAATTACCCAGGGTTATAGATGCATTAGGCAAGTGTCTTAGGGTTTCTATTGCTGCAATGAAACACCATGACCAAAAAGCAAGTTGTGGAGGAAAGGGTCTATTTGACTTACACATGTACATTGCTGTCCCTCACTTAAAGAAGCCAGGACTGGCTCTCAGTCATGGCAGGAACCTGGACCCAGGAGCTGATGCAGAGACCACGGAGGTGTGCTGCCTATTGACTTGCTCTCTGTGGTCTGCCCAACTTGCCCTCTTACAGAACCCAGGACCACCAGCCCAGGAATAGCATACCCACAATTGGCTGGGCCCTCCCCATCAATCACTGATTAAGAAAATGCCCTGCAGCCAGAGCTTATGGAGGCATTTCTTTCAATCTGGATTCCCTCCTTTCAGATAACCCTAGCTCATGTCAAGCTGACATAAAACTAGCCAGCACACTGAGTGTCCTACCATTGAGGTACATGTTCAACCCCAAACTTATAATTAGAATAATGAAGTCTCCATCTTGGTAGAGAGACATGCCTGGAGACATGCCTGGAGACGGCTGCAGATAAAGTAGAAGCTGTAGTTTAGGAGACAGACGTGTGGGGCAATGTTTGAAAATTTATTTTCTTCTCTAATAAAGTTACCTTTCTCAAGGTCATTTATTGAATACAGTTATTCAAACCAAAGGATTTCAAACTGACTTTTCTATTTTCTGTAATTTTGGAGGTTTTATAACTTGGTATTGTGCTACTGTCTAAAGTAAGGAATGCAGGAATATCATGATATGGCAGAAATACTAACATAGAAGGTTAACTCCAACTTGGGGCAAAGAAACAGCAGAAAAAGAATTATCAGTCATTCATTGGCTTTGCATTTTTAAAAAGATTTATTTGTGTGTGTGTATGTATGTGTGTATGTGTATATGTATGTATGTGTGTATGTGTGTGCGTATGTATATGTGTGTATATGTGTGTTGGTATGTGCACTTAAGTTTAGGTGCCTGAGGAGGCCCCAGAAAGCAGTCCCCTGGAGTTGGAGTTGGAATGTTGTGAGCTGCCTGATGTCATTGAGGACTGAATTCGGGTCCTATGGAATAGCTGCAAATGCTCTTAACCTTTGAGCTACCTCTCCAGCACTGGCTTAATAGTTCATGAGCCAGATGTATTTAAAAAATGAGAAAAACGTAAAAGGAGGAAAATTCCTTTGACTCTGTGGACTGGTGAAATAAAAACTAAAAATTTCCAAAATTGGGAGATTTGTAGTTGGTTAGTCATAACTAACAAGCCATTACTAATAAAGACTTAAAATTAAATTAAACACTTAATTAAATATTATAACTCCAGATAATTCACTTTAAGATTTTTTTTATTAGTTTTAAAGACAGGGTCTCACTATGTTGCCCTGACTGAATTGCAGCTTGCTATGGAAACTAAGCTGGTTTCAAACTGAAAGAGATTCTACTTTCTCTGCCTCCCTAGTGCTGAGATTAAAGACGTGCACCACCATGCCTGACTGTTTTCCACATCACTAGCAATTCAGAGTTCTTGTAGTTTAATTTAAAATACAATTCAATATGAATAACAAAGTATTAACTGTTTTCTCAATTACATATTTTGAAAAATAACAAACTGTTGCCTTCACACACATATCAAAAAGAGAAAAGGAAAAAGAGAAATACCAGATCCATCTGGAAAAAGAATAACTTGAAACCACATTGTAGTTCTTAAAACCACTATTTTTAGCAACTTTAAGGTTATGGTTCCAAGAACGCATTCAGTGTGTTACTTCACCATTTATGTTGCTGACCTCATTTAATAATGTGTCATATAGTTATTATAAATATGTCAAGTAATATTTGACAAGTCAGTAAAATGAAGAGATGGGTCAAACCCTTAAAAAGACATCTTTTCAGTAAAGATAGAAATGACCAATAAGCACAGGAGAAGATGCTCAGTGCTCTGAGCTGGGGAGATGCACACTGGCCACAGTGAGCGGCCAAAGCACACCCACTAGATAGCCGCCACTTACAGAGATGGGGATGGTGTAGATTCTGAGCCCTTTGTGGTGCAGCTGCTTTGGAGAAGGTAATTCTTCGCTGGCGATGGTTAAATAGCACTGTAAGCACACAACATACTCATCACATACTTAAAAATGATGAAAATGGTGTCTGTCCATTGTGTTTTATCACAGCAAAAACAGAACAAATAATGAAGCACTAAAAAGAAATCTTTTTTTAATATTCAGAAACTTTCCAGAAATAACCCATGCCAGCATTTGGTAATTATTTCAGTTCCTTACTCTGTGCTTTAAACTTTCTGTTGTGAGACTTCTGTCGCTCTCCCATTAGAAAGTCTAGATAAAAGTACAAGCAGCATTCATGAACGTGGGGCTTGGTTAACACAGGCCCTGACCCACATGCGGACAGGCAGCCTCTCCCGTACAGGCAGCTGTGGTCTTATAGAGCATGGTCCAATCTGCCCAATATAAACATAGAAATAATAACCAAATGAAACTGGAAAACTAAGAAGACTCAGGCTGCATAATTAAATACATCTTGACAAGCATAGTTGTTTCTAGCTTATGCTATTTGGCAGTGCTATTTTTGGCCTGATTTCTTGTTACTGTAGATGCTATATTTTCCCTTTCAAATGTTTCTAAATATAAAATGAGACAAGAATATTTGGCAATATTCAAGTTTGTCTATCACCAGAATATTCTTTATTAAAATTTTATTTTTTTTTCTTTTTGGTTTTTTGAGACATAGTTTCCCTGTGTAACAGCCCTAGCTGTTCTGGAACTAGCTCTTGTAGACCAGGCTGGCCTCGAACTCACAGGGATTCACCTGTCTCTGCCTGCCAAGTGCTGGGATTAAAGGCATGCACCATCACCACACAGTTCATTATATTTTTATTTACTTGTATGACACGTGTGTGTGTGTATGTGTGTGTGTGTGTGTGTGTCCATGTGCCACAGGGTACATGTGGAGGTCAGAGGACAGCTTACAGCAGCTGGGTTCTCTGTATGTGGGTCCTGGGGATAGAACTTGTTATTAGGCTTGGTGGCAGACACCTTTACCTGCGAAGCTGCTGAACCCCAGCAGGATATATTTTTAAAGAATAGATGTAATGATATCAAGTTTAATAAATGTGTAAGTTAAATAACATTTAGAAAGTCAAGGGCACTTTGCTCCAGTTTGAATGCTGTCATTATTTCTTGTGACTTTCGACTGGGCAGTGTCACTGAGGCGGAAGGCACATGGCACTTTACCGGATGTTGTAGTAAGAGAAAGTTGGTATAGAGGGTTGACGTGTCCTGGGAGGTAACCATAGTGCATTTACTACTGGGTTCCCTTCCCCGGTCTCCTCTGATCTCAATACACATTTCTTCACTAACTATCAGTAGAGAATGTCTGAATTCTAGATTCATTCCATCAGTTCCTTATTGTGGACATTTTACTTGGTCTTTCTCAGCTTCAGTTTCTTCATTGGTCCTAAGGAGAGGGCCTAGCACTAAGGTTTGTCATGAGACTTAAGTGAGTTAACGTGGAAAAGGTTCCCGGAGCAACGCTTCTGCGTGAAGCTCCGGGCTGTATAAATGACTTACGTGGTGATGATGGCCATATGGTCCCTGTGTATTCAACCCTGGCACAAATATTATGGGGGAGCTAATGATACATTGTGCTTCCTTAGCACAAGGATTTGTTTAAAGTTCCTCTTGTGCCTTTTGTGAGTGCGAGCGCTGGCCCCAGTACAATGGCTCTCCCGGCTCTCAAGTCTGAGACGGCCTGAAAGCATTTTCAGTCTGGGAAAAAAAAGACCAAACAGGACAAAGGACCTGGATGATCCTTGAGAGATAGGGTTTACGAAGTTGGTGGGGTTGGGGCTGGGCTTTGCTGCAGACATGCTACCTCTCTCTCATTCCTCCTGATGACACCATAGGTGTTTACCTGTTGTGTAAGAGTTGTGAGTTCCCATCCAGCTCCAGAGCCTGTATTTCCTCTGTGTTAGTGAGATTGGCAGCTAGCATGATTTTGTGTCTTGGCTAGTTAGATGCCTCCATAAGTATCCTCCATTAGTTTCCAGTGAATACTCTGTTGTATGTGTACATGTGTGTGTGTGTGTGTGTATGAGAGAGAGAAAGAGAGAGAGGGAGAGAGAGAGAGAGGAGAGAGGGAGCTTTGACCTCACGATGCCTCTGCCTCAGCCTTTGAAAGCAGGGCATTACAGATATGTACTGCTATTCAGCTCGCTTCTGTTTGTTTTTTCCTGATTCATTTTATTTTTAAACCTTCGTTTTCTCACTGAATAGATGCTGAATCACACGTTTTGCTTTGTAAAGTAAAATTTTGCTGAGTTCCGGTTTTCATACTTTATCTCAGGTATAATGTCCTTGCTGAGGCCTCTTCTTCTGGATGTGGTTCCAACGATTCAACAGACGGCTGCCCTGGCCCTGGGGAGGCTGGCCAACTATAACGATGACTTAGCAGAAGCAGTTGTGAAGGGCGACATTCTTCCACAGCTTGTCTATTCATTGGCAGAGCAGAATGTAAGACTTTTCTAAAAACTTTTGTTTTTGTTTTCCTTAGATTTAAAAAACTGAGAGCTTTGGGACAGTTGTAAACTTGAAGGCTTTAGAATCACTAGGGCTTTAGTACTGCTTGCCCCGCTAACATCAGTACCTGTGTTCAGTCTCCAGACTCCATGTAGAAATGGCAGGCACCCTGGCACATGCTTCTAATCCCAGCCCTGGGGATGAAAGGCAGGATCCTAAGGACCTCTGGGGTTCACTGGCCAGCCAGTTCAGCATAACTGATGACCTAGGCCAAAGAGGGACACTGACTCAAAGGAACAGAAGACTCCTAAGGATGACCCCCAAAGCTGACCTCTGGTCTACACACACACACACACATGAGTACTTTGGTGTCATTTGATTTTTCTCTGCCTGTTTGGTATCTGTAAGTAGAATTTTGACTACTCATTCCACTTTTAGCTTATCATAATACAGCATGTACCTTCTTTTGATGTCCTTAAGACTAGATTCCTACTTACAGAACAAAACATAAATAAGACCTGAAGAATGGGCAAAGGAATAGATATTCCCCCCAAAGAACATCTCCAAATGGTGAACAAATGCAAGAGAAGCTTGGGAGCATTGGTAAGAGATACAAGCTAAAGGCGTGGTGTGGCATCACTGCACATTTACCAGGATGAGCAGAACGAATATTTTCTAGGAAAATTCAAAGTGTGGAGAAGTAGGAGCCCGCAGCGGTTGCTCGGAGCAGTGTAGAGCGGCATGGTATGCAGTGAGTTCGGGGTTTCAGGATATGAATGAGCAGCTCTTCCAGCTATGGATCTGGGAGAACTAAAAGCAACGCTCACAAGTTATATACAAATGTTCGGAGCAGCGTGACTCACAGCAGTCTGCAGGGGAAAGCAGGGCAAGTCATCAACAGATAAATGAGTAAAGAAAATATCATCTATCCCATACAATGAGTGTTGTTCTGGCATAAAAAGGAATTGAGTACTGATAAATGTCGCAACATGGATGATTCTTAGATCATTATTCCACGTGAAAGATGACAGGCACAGAAGACTGCATTGTATAATTTATATGAATATACAGAATATGCAAATCCATACAGACAGAAGCAGACTCATGGGTGCCAAGGGTTGGGGGAAGAAGGGAGAGAGGGAGTGACTGCTTCATTTTTAAGGGATGCTTTTGGGGGGGCATTGAGACAGGGATTCTCTGTGTAGCCCTGGCTGTTCTATAGACCAGGCTGACCTTGAACTCAGAGATCCACCTACCTCTGCTTCTTTTGTCTCTGCTGAGATTAAAAGTGTGCACCACCACTGCCTGGGCCTTTAAAGGATCCCTGGGTGGTGAAAGTGTTCTCAGCAGTGACACGTGCACAGTACTAGGACTGCATCCCAGCTACACTGGGAATTTTATGATGTATTTATTTTACCAGGCTAAGGCATCTTAACTGTGCAGAAATTTGTTTGATTTTATAGGTTTATTTTTTTAATGCTTTTTATAAAGCCTTGATAGTTTTCTAAGTATGACTAACTGTGTACTGGTTGTAAACAGGCATCTAACACGAGACAGAGAAGTGGGGAGGTGGCTTGGCTAGAGCCAAATCAAGGGTGAGAGGCGGTGCTGTGCGGCCGTCACCTTCACGGTGGCTACAGACCATGCCCTGTCCGTCAGCTCTGTGAGCTTGCTTTTTGTTTTCAGTTCTTGGTACAGGAGTAAGGATGTGAAATGTGAAAACACTGGTCTGGTGCAGGAGAAGGGGTCAGAAAGTGCCAGTTATAGTTATACTTAGCCGGTAGCTATTGGTAAGTTTACATTATAAATTTGGTAATTCTACAGAATAAAAAATCAAATTGGTTTAAGATAAGGGCAAGAAATGTGCTAACACTATTTTTCATGATTATAATAAAGTGTTATTTAGAAAGGTATCCTGAAAGTCTACCTTAATTTTTGAATAAATTACTAGAGAATAGGTTTTTGACATAATTTAAGAAACGAAAGGAAATATGTCACATTAAAACATAGGTATTAGCACAGTACATTTTTATATTAACATATGTCACTGTTTTAGATACAACACATTCAAATACATGTAGTGCATTTTCTCTTATTATTTTTACTATTTATATTTTTAGCCTAAATGATAGAAGTCTTTCAGAGAAGGCAATTGGCTGGTCCTTCTTTAGTAGCATGGTGGTTTGAATGACAATGGCCATCTTAGGTTCATATATGTGAATCTTGATTCCCCAGGAGGTGTGGCCTTGTCGGAGGAGGTGTGTCACTGGGGCTGTGGGCTTTGAGAATTCAGAAGCCAATGCTAGTCATTCCAGTTACTTTTCTCTCTGCTTCCTGGTTATGGATCAGACGTAAGGTCTCAGCTGCTACTCCAGAGCCATGCCTGCCTGCCTCCTGCAGGATAGATCATGGACTATATAACCTTTGAGAAGCGTGAGCCCTCAAATGAAATTCTTTCTTTCATAAGTTACCTTGGTCATGGTGTCTTCACAGCAATAGAAAAGTAACTAAGATAGTAATTAATATAAAGAAATCAAAACTGATAATGTCGAGTAGGAGATGACTGTGATTTATTGATAGGGATGGTGAGACCAGCTGAGCATGGTGGTGCACACCTTTAGTGTTGGCACTCAGGATGTACAGGCAGGTGGATCTCTGTGAGCTCAAGACCAGCGTGGCCTATGTGGTAATTCAGGCTCAGCCCAGTGCACACAGTGAGACCTTACCTTAAAAAAAAAAGCAATAAAACCAACAGAGAATTATGAGATCATCTCTATATTATTTTAGTCATGTAACAACCGTGTTGTAGTCAAATATTTCCTACACATACTTTTAGCAAATGGAGAGAAACACATTACTCCTATGTTTTTGATTCCCTAATCAAGTAAAATTTGTTTATAGGGCATACTATCCATATGAAACAGCTTTCACAATTCACACAATAGCTTACTTGTTTTTATCTTTTTTTTAAAAAGCCTTTCTAGAACAGAGAAATAACATGTCCTGTGTTAACAAGGAGGAGCTTTAGAAATGTTGTGAACGTTTTACCTCTCTCTGCGATTGCCAAGTATCTTGTGCTATTTAGGAGGACCTGCTGAGGCCAGGCAAGCTTGCTAGGCTTAGAGGTCGAGAGAAAGTAAGGGAAAAGAGGTGGTCGGTTGACAGAGACAGCGAGCTACCGTGCTGGAGTTCCAGGACTCACACAGCACCTTTCGGTGTCAAGCAGATACAGAAAATCATATTATTTTATGAATCTGCAGAAAGTGCCATGTTTATATTTGATTTTATACAATTTCCAAATGCATGCTTCAAACTAAAATATTTGTAGTGTAATTTAAAATTCACCTCTTTCCCAGGTTAATTACTGAACAGAAGCAAAGGCGGCTGTCCAAGTACCAGCGTTTGCGGGCTGTTTCACTGTTTGCATTCGGCGGCCATTGCACTTTATGTTAATGCCATTTTTGTGTTGCTTTTGGGCTATTTTAGATTCTGGGTTTGTTCTCTTTCCCTGTAGTGCGTCTACAAGAAAGCAGCTGCCTTCGTGCTGAGAGCAGTTGGTAAACACTCTCCGCAGCTGGCGCAAGCCACAGTTGACTGTGGCGCCCTGGACTCTCTGGTGATGTGCTTGGAAGATTTTGACCCTGGAGTCAAGGAGGCTGCAGCCTGGGCGCTTGCATATATTGCAAGGCATAATGCAGGTACTGTGGCATGTTTGAAAGGAGGGTGACTCAAGTTTAGGTTTATTAGATAAAAACAGTTTTGTTTACTGTAAACAGAATTTTAAAGGTGTTGCTGGACATCATGAGAGAGCAGTCTGGAAAGAGAGTCATACTGTTTGGATCAAATATTTACAAAACACTTTTACATTTGAGTCCAACAGAAGGGAAATTTGAAGGAGATGTGTGGTATGGCCGAGTGGGACTGGTTCTACCAACTTTGGTTACACAGCAAGACGCCGTCTCAAGACCAAACCAAACCAAACCAGATAAAACAAAACAAAACAGCTCAGCCAAACAACCAGATAATTATTTTCTTGGCAGCTGGTCAGATAACGTCGCTTTTGTGGTTGTCATCCTCTGAGCTCGTGCTCATTCATGACAGGGCATTCCAAGTCAATCAAGCGGCCCATTGCACGAATGAATGATGAATGAATGATGTGAGAAGATGGAATAAAGCCGTAGAAAGTGGTTTATTCCCCTAAGCTGGCAGGAAGGAGGAGGAAGAAAATAAGGGCAACATTCTTTAAACTGAATCTTGATGAAGTCAACACGATGGGCTGGTAGTCTCCTGGAGAGGGCTGTGCGGACACACAATTGGGAGATGGCGTGGGGGGGGGGACCCACTCCGTTCTCTGTAGAACGGCTGAAGAACAAATGACAATGGCATGTGAGAACCATCAGCTTTGCCAGGGATCGACAAATGGCACATTGGAACATGACAGCCATCTGCTGATGGGGAGGAGGAACAGGGCAGGACAGCCATGTGTCTGGGTCTGAAGTCCAGCCTAGTACACTTAGCTGCTGTGTGACCTCAGCCACAGCTTTGGACCTTCTGAACTTCTACACCCTCCTCGGAACAGAGGGCAACCAGCCGTCATTTCTGAGGTTTGTAACGAGGGCGATGAAATGAGACGCAAAGAGCTCCAGTGGGTCTTGGCATGTACCTGGTGAACACGAGATGCCAATGTTAGTGTTAAGTATAGGAAAGGACATTGTAACACTGATGGCTGTGAGCCAGGGGTGCTGGCATGTGCCTGTAGACTGGGCTACTTGGAGGAAGGAGTGGAAGTCGGAGGCCCACCCCACACAATCTAGTAAAGTATCAATCTTAAAATACATAGTAAAGTTGGAGGAGGAAGTATAAATTGTATAAACCAATGGAAAACAGTGTGTCAAAATCAGTGAAAGTCGTGGGAGAGTTCGGGCTTACCTCAAACACCTGCTTTGGAAGCTCGTCCTGAAGGAAGACTATCACAGAATGAAAAAACTGTATTTGTGGAAATGCTATTATAACATTCTTCATAGTGTCAAATGCCTCAAATATTTGATAGAACTTAAATAGTTAAATAATAGTAATCCATTTAATGAAATCTCATGCAATAAAGTAAAAGGTAATTAGGGTCCTTACTTGGTAACAAGGAAAAGTAATTATAATACTAAAGAGGAGAAAGTTGTGTATTGTGCTTCCACACTGTAAAATGAGCTTTCCTGTGGCTGTAGGTTAGAAAAGGCATGTTACATCACCATGCTGGTAGAGTTAAAGATTTTCCGGTGTGTTTAGGGCAGCTGCTGTGTGGGGAGTCATCCTTGTGAGGCTGGCTCTGTGCCATGTACTTGTGACCTTTATCCCACTGAGCTGCAGCTGCCCTTAGGTGCCTCTCTCCCTATTTGATGAGAAAAGTGTGACTTAAGAGGCCTGGGAAGATGTGAATGGTGGTGTCAGAATTGGGGTTTAAATTTTCCTACTCCCAAGTTCGTGTTAGCTGCTGCACATATAGCTGGACTGACCACTTCCTGGCCGTGCTGGAGGAAACCCGCAGAAGCAGGCAGAGGCTCTCTCACATTGTATTTGGTTTGTAAAATGGGGACACCACTAGCGACAGACTAGAAATAGAATAGCAGGAAGCTAAGGTGAAAAAGAAAACTCTTGTCATGTTTAGAAAGATTCATATTAATTTTCTTTCCATAGTAATCAGAAGCCAAAACCTTCGCAGTTGGCTTTGGTAGGTTCTGAGAAGTCAGAGGACTGGTCCACACTGTGCGGAGTACCCAGAAGCTCTGCAGGACAGTCCCATACTGGTGGGCATGTGCCAGGGATGTCCTGCCCATCTTCCTTTGTTGCCCAGTCTGGGAGATGTTACTGTAGTTCATAAGTAGGATCCGACTTGGGGATCACATTCCACTTTCTTTCAGGACTCCATGTGAAACCTCCAGTCTAATCTACCATTTCACGTAGTTAGGGCCTAGGGCCCGACACTCAGAACCACAGAAGCCACCAGTCACAGCCAATGGAAGACAATGGGATGTTTACCCCCAAAGGACTGGTTTATTTCCCAGTGTCTCCTTGAAGTGGAGCTTGTTGAGATCACTTGGCCACACCCACTCCCTGCCCTCTGTTCCCTATCCACGCTAAGGTGCTCGATGCTTTAAAGTGATTTAGACCTTAAGTGAAATGCCAACCTTCTCCTCTCTTGCTCTTAAGTAAGGGAAGGTTGGAGATCTGAGGTCAGCCCTTTTCTCAGAATGGTCTCTCTTTCCTTTCTTCTTTGGTGTCTTTCCCGCTTTACTAACATGTCTGTTTCCATTTTTAGGGCCTAGCCTTGCTTTTGGAGATAGAAGTGTCAGACCAGAAGCATGAGGGATGAAGTAGGAAGGGCAGCAGGATTGTAGCCCCTGGGCAGTGGGGACAGAGCTACACAGGAGCCCTAAGCCTGGCCTCCCAGGCAGGACCCCTCAGTGCCTAATTAAAAGTACAAACTGAAGGAAAGGCAGAAAGTGGCTTGGTGTTCTGAGGGAAACTTCTCTACATCTGGGCTCAAAAATAAGTTTTAGGTGTTGAGAGCTTTAATTAAAAAGTCAGGCTATCTTTTGGTAGTAAGCTCTGGTTGGATTTACGTCTAGCGAAAAGGAATACATTTGATTAGATGTTCTACAACTTAGGCACGACTCTGTGCCGGGGTCCAGATGAAGAAGCTGTAGCGGCGTGGTTAGAGGGTGGCTCTGTCACCAGCAGCTTCTGATGGGACACTTAGACAACCAACAGCTTCTCAGCCCCTCCTCTGTGTGAGGAAAGGGTGTCCCCAGGATACCATCCTCTCTAGTTCAAGCTCCCCATGACGTCAGACACCTCTGCCTCTAATTGCCGGGGGTTGTTTTCCACATGTGTGCTCTTCCTCCTCAGCTCAGACAGATGTGCGGCTCAGTTGTGAGATGGAGCTTCTGCAGCCTGGCTCTCAGGCCTGGGCACTGTGGACACCCACGGATTTATTGCTACACCACAGCCCGCTTTTTAAATGAGTAGCATGTGGAAGGACTCTTAACTATCTTATGCAGAATACTGAAACGAGAAAGGAGAAGGCTTTAAACTTTAGAATTTTTATAAATACTCATCTCCTTCAATGTGCCAATATCAGAGACATAGAGAGAATGTAGAATGGCCTAGAAGGCAATAATGAATTCTCAAGCCACACATTTATTTATGATGAAACTACCTCAATCTACTTAACAATTTTCAAAGGAATTAACTTTTAAAAGTGCAAATTTTAATCATCAGTATTGAGAGAAGTGATGTTACAGCGATGGTGTAGAACAGAGGAGCAGCAGGGGCTGGAGGCCGCCCTGGGCGCCTGATGAAGCCCCCACAGAGCCACTTCTAACCCAGGTGCAGGGGAGGTGAGGTAGGAGCATCCTGGGAGTTTGGGAGCAGCCCAAGCAACAGAGTGAATGCTCCCATCTCAGCAGCTGAAGCAAAGCCCCGTGGACTGGCGACTGTAACGATTATACTGATTTCTGTAACATTTTTCATTTTATATATATGCTTGTTGTACACACAGAGGAAAATGAGTCTTAGAGGATCATAATATTTTATATCATATCTATTTGATCCTGACATTTATTTTCCCAGATTCCTTTCCAATGATCCGGGTGTTAGAGAAAGGGGGAAGTGGAGAACAAGCATCTCCTGTTTGTTTTAGGGGGTAGACTCCAAATATGTTAAAATACCATTCTAGCTAGAGCCATGTTCCACCGGGCAGTGCACATGTGGGTGAGAAGTACACTCTGATTTTCCTGTATTTTTAAATTCTTTTGATTTTTTTTGTCCTTCCTTCCTTCCTTCCTTCCTTCCTTCCTTCCTTCCTTCCTTCCTTCCCTCCTTTTTTTTGTTGTTGCTGTTGCTGTTGTTGATATAAAGAACTCAGGCCTGGCAGTGGTGATGTATGCCTTTAATACTAGCACTTGGGAGACAGACAGATCTCTGAGCTCAAGGCCAGCCTGATTTACTGAGTGAGTTCCAGGATAGCCAGGGCTGCACAGAGAAACTCTGTCTTGAATCCACCCCTGCCCCAATTTTTTTTTACACTTTTAGTTTCAAATACATCAATACATCTTCTGCGCTATCTACCTCTTTAGACAAAACCCATGATTGAGTCGGAACTGGAGAGATGGTTTGCTTCATGTCCTCTTCATAACCCAGGTTCAGTGTCTGCATCTGTCCTTCCTCCCCACTCACAATCAGCCTGGCTTTCCCTTTTCTATGTTAGACTATACCTACGTGTATGTTTATATACAGATATTATTGCCTCGGATTCACATGTGAAAGAGAACACACTATTTCTGAGATTGTGTGACCTCACTTAATATTATAAAGTCCATTAATTATCCTGCAGTTTTTAAAATTATTTTTTCCTTAGAGCCAAGTACTATTCCATATACATACATACATACATATATATGCATATACCAAATCTTCGTTACACATTAATCTGTTGATGGACAACCAGGTTGGTTTCAATTCCTTGCTAAAGAGAACAAAATGGTAATTGATATAGTGGTGCAAATATCCCTATGATGGGGTATGAGTTCTTGGGTATATGCCTAGGAATAAAATAGCTGGGTCATATGGTGGTTCCTTTTTCAATTTTTTGAGAAATCTCCAAACTGACTTCCTGAATGGCTGTATTAATTTGCACCTCCACCAA